GCACACACACACACACACACACACACACACACACACAAGCAAATGCACATACAGCATGCACACTCACACCCTCCCACCTCTCAACCAATCACCCAGACACTCACAGACTCATAGAGTCCTGTGGCACTTTCTCTCCACCTGTATTCATCTCATTCACCCAGCACGAGAGACGAGAGAGAGGGGCGGTGCCGTCGCTTTCCCAGACGTGGAAAGAAGTACAGAGAGCAAAAAATGAGCAAACATTTAACAACAGAGTTTTCACTTTTGTCTGCCCGTAGTTATTGTTTGTTTTGTTCTAGTAAGGTTTTTACGACGCTCACAACTGCATAAGGTCATATGAGCACCAAGGGTGGATGTCAACAAATAAGTCCAAAGTCTGTTCACCTCTACTATAGCCTCAACAGTATAACATCTGCTTCGGCTATTAATTAAGGCACCCCGGAAATTAAAGTTCAAAAGAGAGTGACAAACATTCAAAAGAAGTAGAGGGGAAATGACGATAGTAAGGATGAGGAAAGAAAAAGCAGCAGTTCCCCCTATGTTGTTCCGGCAATGCATGATCATGACCTTGATGAATCAGCCCATTTACAATTCTACTGCGCGTAAGAACATGTTAATATTTTCCCTTTGGGAATGGCCTAAGGACACTTTAATCAGTGGTGCAGAGACTTTTAGACCAGTAAGCAAACACCAAAGAAGATTTGTTTATTTCCCGGGGTTTGTTTTTTTCTCTTTTTTTCCCGTAGTTAAAACTGGAAACAAACAAATCGCTGTGTTTAATCTGCTTAGGTGTTTGCGTACTGGCCTATACGTTGGATGGACAACGGAGTATAAAAGTCGCTGCGCTAATGAAGGCCACGGCAAAATAAGGTTCCGACATGCTCTTTTATCGGCGTCAGTGGTGTAGTTGTTAGGCGTTTGGCTGCCGCATGCAGGAGATCCGAGTTTGATTCTTGGACGGGTAGGAAATTGTTGTCGACTATCTCGGTCTTTCTTCTGGGATGTTGTTTATTTCTCAGCCTGGGTTGTCCCTGACAGGTCGGAAGTCCGTCCCTGAATGTGTCGATGGAGGCGTAAAATACCTTCATGTTTCGTCTTTGAAGTAGAAATAACTAGAACTGACAAACTTGAAGAAGAGTAATGGATTTTGAGATTTGATGTGAGTAGTGTTTGTGATCTCAGAGTATAGTGATAGTTTCTAAACGTGAGCAAAGGGGGCTCTCGTGGCCTAGAGGTTAAGGTGTTGGCCTCTCATTCAAAAGTCCCGGGTTCGGATCCGGGTAGCGACCGAAACATTTTCTTCCCTAAAATTGTCTCCTTTCACCTCCTTTCCTGCTCTCTAGCAATATTCTGTCGTCTGCTTTCCTCTCCTCTTTCTTCCCCAACCCCCACCTCCTTTGCCCCCTCCTCTGGGCTCCTGACTGTTTCTGCAGCCTTTCTACTGCTACTCCTTGGCTCCTTCTTACCGCTGTCTTTCTGCCACACCCCTGATCTTCTGGTAGGAAAGATCTACACCTAGCCTTCTCCGACAAGGGCGAAACATCTCGGAGGGCCCGTGTGCAAGTTGCGCTCGTTAAAGATCCCTTGGTGGTCTAAAATCGAAAAGAGTAGGCTTCGGCCGCCACCCGGGCAAAATTCGAAATTTCCTACCAACTATAAGTATTAGGAGTGTCCCGCGCGCTCATATGACATTAACATCTCGAGTTCTTATGCACAGTAGAATTGTAATTGTAAATGGGCTGATTCATCAACGTCAAGCTCATAACTGTGCCTGAACTGCAACAGAGAACTGCTGCTTTTTCTTTCTTAATCCTTACTATCGTCCTTTTTCCTCTACTTCTTTTGTATGTTTGTCACACTCTTGTGACTTGCTATTTCCTTGTTGCCTTGATAGTCGAAGCAGACCGTGTCCTGTTGAAGCTAGAGAGGTTAGCAGAGTAAATCTGATTCCCTGTAAGGACTTCTCTGTTGACATCCACCCCTTGGCGCTCATATGACCTTATGCAGTTGCGAGCGCAGTAAAACCTCTAAATTATTATTTTTTTTAAGTATGTGTATTGTGCGAGCAGTTTTTCAAGATTTCACTTGGAGAACTTCGGAAATATGAACATAATACGGCTGGATCGATAATAACAACAACAACCCTAGAACATAATACAGAGATCAATAATATTCATTCCCTTTCCATTATCTGCATTAATCAATCCGACAGGCTCAATGCACAGTCTGTCCTTGCTTTCTAATTCTGAGAGCTTCACTGTGGTTCTAGGACTATCCCCCCCCTCTCTCTCTCTCTCTCTCTCTCACTCCCCTTGGTGAGTTCCAGTAACGCGCTCAGCGCTGGGTGTTCTGTGCGCAACATCTTCACTCTTGCTCACTCAAAACAGAGACGCTGTGATAGAATCTGGCAGAGCGCTCGGGAACATCACTACTACACTTTGTCGCACGTGAAAACGTGATTCATTTTTTTTATAGCCCGGGTAAGCTAAAGTAACGATTTTTATCTTCAGTTCTCTGTTCATGGAACTTGTGGTAGTTGGTGCTGGTGCGTATACTTTTTCCTGAGAACGGCACTCATAGATTCGGTTTCAACTTTCCCACAGGTGAGGAATATTGAATGTTTGTTTGTGTGTGTGAGTGTGTGCTTATGTGTATGTACGTGTGTGTGTGTGTGTGTGTGTG